GGTCATGCCTGCAGAGCCAGGGGCATGGGCGGCTCCGGCGTTGCTCGTGCCCAAACGAGACGGCAAGCGGCGGTTAGTCATTGACTACCGTCGCGCCAACTACCAACTCTTACACTCCCCTCCCTTCAATGTCCGACATCCTTCAGGTTTTCAGCGAGGCACGTCTCTTCTCCAAGATCGACCTGAAGTATGCCTTCTGGCACCTGCCAATCACCCAGGAAAGCCAGAAGTGTACTGGGTTCACCGTAGGTCCAGCACACCATTTTCAGTGGACGGTACTCCCACAGGGGCACAAATGTTCCCCTACAGAGTTCCAGCGGATCATGAATACCCTATTTGCAGACGTGCTGGCGGGAACGGAGGTGCGCATCTACATCGACGATATCGTGGTAGGAACTCGGGATTTCATCCGACATGAGGAGTTGCTGCTGACCGTGCTGCGCCGATTAGTGAAACACCGTTTCGCGTTAAGCTGGGGAAAGGTGGAATTGTTCAAGCCCGAAGTTCGATTCCTGGGATGCATAATCGGAAAAGGTACCCTGACCCTGACCGGATCAGGGATCTCCTCGCTGTCCGAGCCCCGGCCTCTCAAAAGGAGCTACGCACCTTCCTGGGCGCGGTACAGTTTTTAGGTCCGCACCTGCCAGGACTGAGCCTGGTGGCAAAACCACTATTTGCGAAGAGCTCACCTACGCGGAAATGGACGTGGGACTCGGACTCCCAGGAAGCTTTCGACGAGGTCAAGGGAATCATAGCCAAGGCAGTGAGTGGCATTAACTATGCCAAGGCGGGGCACTTCCAGGAATTGGGAGGCACGCCAGACGAGGGGACGCGAGACCGGTCTGCCTCCTCCTCTCAGACACCCAACTCATTGCCGTGCCTCCCTCATACACGACGGGTCACAGCAATTGCTCTGGGCGCAATTTTAATCCTGGTGAGGGAGGGAGGGAGAGTCCGTGACAGTATCGGCGCCCTCTGAAACGTTCCGCCTGCTGGCTCTGAGTCGGGATAAAGAGACCTACAGGGTTTCCATCAAAAACGGGATGGATGGTTCGCTGGATAGATAGATAGTCCTACAGAGCCACGTAAGACGACAGACGTGGTAAAGGCGGCCTTGTACGGTAACTAATTGCCCCCTCCAATTGACTCCGGGGATGATCAAGGAAGTCGGCTGCAACATTCGAGTGGTCCAAGAGGACGGTAATGAATCAATCATTAGCCAACCGGAAGCGACACTCTGACCGCTTAGTCGGGTTCGCCCTCCACAAGCACCCCGCGGCATGGTCGATGACGGCTACGAAGCCGGACGGCGATAGGCAGGGGCGATCTTGTTCCAGGCGTCTAGAACTGTCTGTTTGTCTTCCTCCGTTAAGAGATAGCAATAGATGTTGTGGTGTTTTACGTCATAGCCTTCTGTACGAACTGCAGCGCTATAGTACGGCGGCAAGTACTTGTCTGTCCAGAACCCAGTGACTTTCTCAAACTGCATGCGCTCGACGTCCTCCGACGGAGTTCGGGCCCAACTCTCATAAAGTGTCTCGGCCGATTCACTGCAGGGGTCAAACCAGGGTGTCAACTTGGGCGGGGATAAATCCTGGAATGGGCTCCCAGGTCGACGTGCGTAGTAATTCAGGAACAGACCAACCTCCCTTCCGAGTGTATACAGGTCCTGTTCGCTGACACCGTCCAAGTCAACGCCGGGAATCGAACCCGCAATCTCCAGCGCTCGGCGCACAGTCAGTAGTTTGTCGTGCTCGTCTTTGTCGTTACACTGGTACGAGCACTCAGTAGGCTTCACGTGGCGAACGACACCCTCCCAGACAGTAGGAAGATCGAATTTCCACGGAGTGCCAAAGTAATGACACCCAAGGTTCCCGTCGTCCGTGTTCTGGTCACGCGTGCACACTATCCTGCCGCCATATGAAGCACAGTCGTTCCAGTCCAACTTCTGCCAGGCAATGCTCGTCGCTTCTACCATCGGCAAGTCATTCTTCGCTTGCACAACGTCGCTGTATGTCCGCCTGCACACGTCCGTCGGTGCCTTCAACAGAGCCAGCTCCGTCTCAGAAATTTTGCCGATCTCGCTGAGGTCCGGCACAAAATCGGGCGACAGGGATGAGCTGTGTGTGGCTGGGGTAGAGTGATACGTGGTGACCTCAGACACAGAGGAGGGGGCCGGCACCACATCGTCACCGGGGCGGTCTCCAGCTCGGAGCAATAAGATCAAGTATGTCACCAATGCAGTGCCTGCGGCACCTCCCACGCCCGCACCGAACCAGGGCCTTCGCCAAAACCTGGCAGTTGGCCGCGCCAGTTGCTCCCCCTCAGTGTCAGTGTGGGACCTCGCGTCCTCGATTATCAACATCGGGAGCTTCTTTGCTTGATCGTTATCGTCTGAGGAGGTGAGACAACCGTTTGAGAGATCCTCCGGAAGGCTCAGATCCTCGACGATCACCATCCGCAACTTCTCTCCTTCATCCCACCTCTCGGACTCGGACGCGGATGAAACTTCGAGAAGTCCCCCTTCCTTCCCGTCGTCGGATACCCTCCCATCGATGGGTCGACCCACGACCACAGCCAACACCGAGCCCCCCTTGACACCACCAAACTGGATTGACCGTAAACTCCTCATCACCGCTCAACTTTAAACATTAAAAAAACATTTCAGCCTGAGACAAAACGGGGGACCAGGGCAACTGGTGAGCTGAATAGCTTGTGGTTCGGGACCGGGCATGTAGACTCAAACCCGCTGACCTACCGTCACTTGCCTCCTCTCGCTGTCAAACTCTCCCTGGCTCCCTCGGACACTCATTATACGTATTGGTGGAGTGTTAGGTGATATATATATATCTTCTCCCAAAAACCCAACCGGACCGGTAGTGTTATGTCTACCCGTTCTCGTCTGTGTGCAACAGTCGATGAGGTATCACTTATCAGGTTCTTGGCGGACCATATCGTGCCTGCAACGGCGGACCTGCGCTACCTACTCTCTCTGAGGCAGGTCGTCGTAATGTGGAAACGTATTTCTCGGAAGTCGCACGCAAGCTATACGACGACTGCAGCCTATACGTGCACGCTTGGTACAAGCAAGTGCACGCATTCAAGACTGAAGACCTGGCGAAGCTCAATAACGTGATAACGGAGAAACTGAGTCGTTACGCGAGATTGGCAAGCAGGTGGGGCTGTAAGGCGAGAGTAGATAAAGGGCAGATGGTCTGTGAGTTACTATTATT